CTTGTGTAAGGAATACTGGCAGGTGCCACTGGAGGAGTAAAGCCGGCCATACACGGCATATCAAACACCAGCTGGACTTTTCCAGTTTACTGTGATGCCATTTGGACTGCATGGGGCACCCACCACCTTCCAGAGGCTTATGGCCAGAGTCCTCCAGGGGTGTGACCACTGCAGCTCGGCCTGCCTCGATGATGTAGTGATCTTCACCTGGGAGGAGCATGTCTAACACCTCTCATTGGTCTCAAAGGATTCAGAAGGCTGGGCTGACACTCAACCCCTCCAAGAGTGAGTGGGAACAGCAAGAAACATGGTACCTGGGTTACCAACTGGAACAAGGAGTGGTGCGATAAGGTAGAAGCTATCCATAACTGCCCTCGACCCTGCACCAAAAAGGAGGTGCAGTCCCTCCTTGGGTTGGCTGGTTGGTAGAGACAATTTGTGCCTCAGTTTGCTACCATAGCAGCCTCACTCGCAGCTCTGACCAGCAAGGACCAGAGAAATCCAGTGACTTGGTCAGATGACTGGGAAACAGCTTTCAACACTTTGAAAGCCTACCTGTGTTCTTCCCCTGTCCTTAAGAGTCCATACTTCAGCAAAAGTTTTCTGGTACAGGTGGACACTAGGGCTGTCCCGAAAACCATTTTTTAACATTCGGACCTTCGGCAGAATTTATAACAAATATTCAAATATTTGTTCACGGCGCAGGGACCCGCAAATGGACCTGCGGGTCGGGCAGCAGTGATCGTCTGTCAAATCCGTCTGTAAATGATATTTTTACATTATTATTATAATCTATTAATCTATAATCTATTACTGTCATGGCATCCGAAGGTACTGATCTGTTGAGCAGGTGACAGTCCACGGTCGTTTTCAAAACACACTTGTGTCACGCACTCCAAAAGAAACTTGTTGAAACTTTAAACAATAATTTATTGTACAAAACGGGGGAAACAAACGTTGACAAAAACAGTTCCATAATTCATATTAAATTCAAAAGATAACAAAAAAAACAGCTACAAGTTAGAGGGAATAGTGATAAAGTGGTAAAACTTGGCACTGATCCACAGCCTCAGACAGATGCGCTCAAGTGTGCCGTGCGCACAAGCTCAGTTGGTAAGCTATACTATATTTTCACATTTTTAACAATGCAATTTAAAAGTTTTGATTTTTATTGATAACCTACATTTACCAACAACAAAAAGACTACATTTAGCACCAAAAAAATATGTAAAGAAAAAAAAAGTAAATAAAAAAACGAATACCAAATTTTCATAACAAATACCTACCCACAGAAACGAATATCCGAACATTTGGGTACAGCCCTAGTGGACACCTCAGCAGTCAGCCTTGGAGCCATCCTGGTCCAAGGCTACCCTGGAGAGCAACACCTAATCTTGATCCTGAGCTGCAAGTTGCAGCCACGTGAGACCAGGTATTCAACTGTGGAAAAGGAAGTCCTGGCCATCAAGTGGGTGCTTAGAGCCTGCAATATTACTTGCTTGGACGAGAGTTTGATCTAGAGACTGACCACCGAGCTGTCACCTGGATCAGCTCCATGAAGAACCATAATAGTCGCCATACCTGATGGTATCTCTCACTCCAGCCTTTCAGGTTCACCATACAACACCGATCAGGCAAAGCCAATGTGGTGGCAGATTACCTCTCCAGGTTGCAACACATCGCCAACCTCCAGGAAGAGGGGGATGCTGTGACAGAGCGGCTCTTTCACTGACTGTGGGCATCGCACGCGCGCACACGCACACACGCACACACACACACACACACACACACACACACACACACGCTATCATTAATTTCCAAGTCCCCACTCCCTTCCTGTCTTCACTATGTCATTTAAAAAACCTCACAGTTATCCTGCTTTCCCCCTGTTTCTGTAGCGTGGCCAAGGGTGTATACTCAGTAGTTCTGTAAACATTCATATGCATATATGCACAGTTATTGTATCACTTACCATACTGATGTATGTTACACATCCATCCCGCTGTTACCCGCCATCTGAGTTTGGTTGGCAAAACGGGCGTAATATTTTGCTGTGAAATGGATTGTTCTTGCAGCTTTTCATGATCATGTGACCTGCATTATTAAGTTTATTGTTCATTAAATTTTGTTGTAAATAACTTGCGAAGGAGAACATTTATGAAAATACTTAATATTTTGCTATATTTTGAGTTCAGAAAGCTGGAAATTGTGTTTGGTTAGACAATATGCTGACTGTGTTTTTTATGTGGATAATATAATATGCCTAGTGGGAGGGGCAACTGTTTTAAAGGGGGCTGCTTTGGCCCTGGATGAGTCAGTCTTGTCATGGTTACAGAGTCTGAACTGTGCTGGAACCTAGATGGTTATCACCTGGTAACGACTAATAATGGATGTGGTCTCCATGTTGTCACTCATAGATTTCTTAAGAACCTTTCTGAAGTGATGTGAAAGACTCCCGGCCGTGACTCTGCCAAACACAAGGCTAATACAAAAATGGGTGTTTAAGTGGAGCCCACCTAGCTTGAAGCTACCAAGCTAACGAAGCCTAAGAAGCTAGGTTATATGTTACTCTCACGGACTGCTTAAAACAAGTTTAGTGTTCACTGATGTCACACAACGACACAAAAAAAAACAGAAAATATATCATCAAGTAGCAATTCTGCTTGGGCGGCTGTGGCTCAGAGGTAGAGCGGAACTGAATCTCAAATTGCTCCGATGGCTGTTCCATCGGTGTGTGAATGTGTTAAGAACGGAGTAGCAGGTGGCACCTTGTATGGTAGCCTCGGCCACCAGTGTATGAATGTGTGTGTGTGAATGTGACTCGTACTGTAAAAAGCACTTTGAGTGGTCAGATGACTAAAAGGCATTATACAAATGCAGGTCCAATTCTGGGGTTCAAGTCAGCATGGACTGGAACTAGTCGTGACAGGATAAAGCTACGAAGATCAAAAACCTTTGACAACATTTTATTACAGTTTCCAAAATTTCATCTGTCTACGGTATACCATCTCTGAAAAATTTGCAGAAACATTTGGGAAGAACAAAAATAATGGTGTCTCTATGGAGACTTTTTGAATAAAACCATAATGATTAAACCAGCACCATATGATTTCTGTGATTATTTATCAATTTTCCATGTTGAAATTGGGTAATTGGGTGGATCAATTTGTCTGCAGTTACTCCTGTTTGTATCCAAATGTGCGCACACCTGGCACACAGTCTGTATACAAGCACATTTTATGAAAATGAAATAAGAAGTATTTCTGCACATTTTCAGTATTAACTCTTAAACAAGCATTTGCAAGTTGGATGTTCAAGACAGAATGGTAAGGACTGTTCTCCAGTCAGTGCGCACTCTTATGTGTGTTTTGACAAACAATATTATGAGTATATTTTTCTTTTGTTTCTTTTGCTGTATGCTTCTGCGCTTTGTACAGTGACTGCTGCCTCCACTGCAGAAAAGTCTGACTTTTAAACTAGAGCCACTCAAAACGCAGGCCATTGTCTTAATATGTGGGACATGGGATAAGGGATAAAAATGCCATGCAGTCCTGCATAAAGCGAGACACCTGGTCAGCCCATGGCTGTAGCAAGTGTTGGACAAAAGCAATGTCATGAATTTCATACTCCGAAACAGGAATGCATATGAAAATGTAGACCAAACACCTAATAGAAAGACTGTGTGGCCTTGCGTTGAAATGTGGAAGTGATGTAAGCAGGAAATCATGTGCTACCCAAAAATGTCCGGATGACACAAGTGGATTTTAATTTGTAAAGTTTGTCTTAAAATTCTGTGTGTGTCAATAAATATGTTTGAAAGTTGCAAATGTTATGGAAGTGTTGATATTCACAAATGCTTTTCATGTATTTGTAAACTGATTCATTGTGTACACAGATATTTTTTATTTGTGGAATTTGTGTATTTGCAGATCAGTTTTACATTTGCAAAACATTTTTTGTGAGTTTACAAATCTATTTTAATATTTGTGGAAAGTGTTTGATATTTACAAAGTAACACACAGATTGTCAAGCCGTTCACAACGATAACTATATAAAGATGGACGATGCATCTCCACTTCCTGCCACTGAACGGAAATGAAGCAAAAATATCCCGGATGTGTCTGCTGCCATCTTGTGTTGCTGACATCATTTGGAGCCAATTGCTCTCGCCACTGTAGAGAGCTCCTGCCTTTACAACCGTTCTTAATTGCAAGCACACTGATTGGCACACACAGGTGTCTATTATGATGTCAAACCCCTGTTTTATACCATAAAATAACTAATCAGCAAAAGGAACACCTGAACAAACATCAGTGTAATAAGAACTACATAAAATGACAGAAACCATCTTTCAGGAAAATTCATTTGTACTTGAACTTTTGGTTCCGCCTGGTCCGCCCGGTACAGGTCATGGGGCTCATGACCTGTACTGCAGCCAGCTGTCAGGGGATGATCCAGATGTTTTGGTTTCATTTCAGGAGAGCTGTCATGTCATCCATCTTTGCATACAGTCTATGGTTCACATGATTGAAACAAATATCTACTGGAATGATTAAGAAAAAGAAAAAAAAAACTTAAGCTCCCACAGCTTTTACTTTTAGCACACAATGTACCCCTAACTGCTTTCACCACTTCCACCTCAAATGACACTTCAGCTGCTTTTAGGGCTTCAGTTTGAACTGAAACTGACTTTTCCCACAGCACTTCCAGTTGACACTGGAGCCTCTTTTAGCAATTGCATTGTATCAGCTCCAACAGTGTTCCGGCTGTTTCAAGTGTTTCAGCAATGATCATGTTTACCTTTGAAAGCTTCAAGCAATAACAGCTTGTAATACTTTTGTGAGTAACTAGATGACTAAAGCAACAGATGGAATGTGGTGTGAAGGGCTCTGAAGTTGTCTACCTTGTGTTTTGTAGCAACAAACTGCAAACAAAAAGCTAAAATCTGTTGTAGTGCTGTACATATCATTGACTGTGCTTTTCTCTCCGATTGGTTACAGTGAACACAGGAATTGTAAACCACACCCACTCCAGGATGGGCTCTATCATGAGCACAGGAATAGTTCAGGGTAAGTCCACCTGTCACCCTCTGCTACTTCACAGTACAGAAACAAAGTATGTACCATGCAAGCATCTTCAGTGGGAATGTTAAATGTAATGATTTGTTTGTTCCTCCAGGAGCCACTACGGGCCAGTCGGGCCCCAGCAGCAGCGGTACTTACTATCCAGTCACCAACCAGTTCACCATGGGGGGTGCTGCCATCTCTATGGCCTCGCCCATGGTCATCCCCAGCAACACCATGCATTATGGTAGTTAAGAGGAAGACCTCACAATCCTCCCCCCCCCCGCATGACAAGAGACCCCCCCCCCCCCAGCGGAGCTCTACAGTCCACCCCCACCCTTCAACCTTGACTGATGCACCAACTGCAGCCAAAACCAATATACCAAAACCAGTGCTATGCTGGCACTGCGTCCTGTTGTTCGTCCTCCTCGTTCTACTCCTTTCAGTCCATCACTATATGGAAGGTCCAGCGCCCTCGTATCCGTCCACTATCTTGTCTTGATAACAGAGGAAACCTCCTTCCCCCCTCTTGGATCCATTAGGACTTAAACACAGACAGCAGTTACTATCTATCCCCTTCCTGGGTTCCACCCTCCTCCCTTCACATGTAACTCAGTCCCTCCACTTCTCCTCCTTTCTTGTTTTTTTTTTTTTTTTTTTGGTGTCATAAGGACTGAAAATGTTTCTTCCCTAAGAATCCACTCGCTGCCACACACCAGCACCAGTCCATATCTACTATTACCACACTTCAATATCAGATGTACACTGACGCTCTCCATTCGTACAGTAAGCCACTGTTATCATCATCAGTACTGATGGCTTGGCTCTTTCATATCTGGTCCAATCTTCAAAGCCCCCACCCTACTTCTCTCAAGAGACTGACTCTGCCAGATGAGTCACAACGTTTTGCCCACCATTAGTCTGTCTCCTCATACAGACAGTTTGGGTTTTAGGCAGAGGCAGATGTATCAGAAAACTGAAGCCATCCACATGCCTGGGCACCATAAGGAGTATGTAAAATATGCCATGGTTGTGACGTGGACAAATTGGCCCTCTAGTTGCAATCATTACCTGCTGATAACCAGCGGTGTTGATGCTAACATCAGGTTTTGGGAGAATGGCATGCTGGTCACCCTCCATGTTGAGTCACACGATAAATAGACATTGTAATCATGTCCACTGTAGAGTGTCTTTGCTAATATCTCAGCACACTGTACTCTGACTGTTAGTGGGCTCCATGCCAGCAGCATGTTAGCATGCATTACATCAAATGATAGCTGCCTCATGGTAACATATATAGCATATACATATAACATATATATGTGTGTGTGTGTGTGTGTCTATATATATATATATATATATATATATATATATATATATATATATATATATATATATATATATATATATATATATATATATATATATATATATATATATACACATATATAATATGTGTGTATGTATAAACAAAAAAATCTTGTGTTTTCAGAACAGTGAACAGAATTTGCTCGTAGTGGAGCTGCTGGTTAGAGCATCGTCTATATTGAAAAGAAACATAGGTGGCACTTTTTATCCTCTCTTACAACAAATGTATAAATGGAGCTTTTGAAAGGTTTATTTTGTGTGATTTTTGACAGAGCTAGGTTTTATCTTAGCATGGAGATATCCCTGTGCTGGACTCAGTGAAACTGGATCTTGTCATCTCACCGTGGGTTCGATGGCAAACAAGCATATTTGCTAACATGCAGGACAGTTTAGAGCTGTTACAGGTATTAATTCTGTAACTTTTCAGGCAGAGTTCTAGGACCCATAAAAAATGTTTCTAGCTGTTCTAAAAATGCTTCATCTGTTCTAGTCTACTTGTATCTGCCAGCCGATTCTGTCCAAGAACTCTGAGTCTTCGTAGTGGAAGAACACCTCCAGTCTCTCCTATCAAGCATTCTTGTTGTCCAAATGGAAGGTGACCAATGGAATAATCTGCCAAAAACTGTGTTTTAGTTCAAGCTAAAACTGTAAACCTGCTGCTCCCATTGCCCGTTGTCTTTACCCAACAGCCAGTTGTTACTCTCAGAGGACATATCAGTAGCTCGCTCCCAGCCAGTCATTTGTTGAGCCTGAGTGCTCCAACACAGTTGCAGGAGGAAGATTCAGAGAAGGATCCAATAAGGACCAGTGACCCAGGTGCCAGCCAGCTGGCTATCCAAATGAGAAAAACTGTGCTGGATCCCCACCCCCCACCCCCACCCGACTGTCACAGAGACTTAAATGTGGAGGCTTGTGAGACAGGGCCAGTTCACCTGCCTCCCCGTTTGTCCATTCACTATGTATGAACTCCAACATATCACACCCTAACACCCTTGTCCCCTTTTATCAGTCAAAGACAGAGAGACCGACACATGTATGCATTGCTTCCAGTGTCACAAGTATTGGACTCAGTTCATTTGGAATTTATGAGTTAGCAAGTTTTAAGAAAGCTGAGGAAAAAATGTCATTTTGTAGAATTAACCTTTTTGTTATCTTTATTTTGTCTTTTCTTTCACAAAAAACAACAAAGAATGAAAAAACAGCTAATTAAATGTGGTGGAGATGTTCCAAAACCATCCTGGAATCAGGTGTTTTAGTACTTTAATTTGTTGACTACGGACACAGCAGATGTTTACCATGTGGTAGCTAGCATATAGCGATCATGCCCTTTTTTGTCATTGAATCATTGCTCTGTGTAGTCAAATAGTGGCATCCACTTTTATCATGGAAAAGTGTTTGAGGAAGACTGTCATATTGTCATTTCTGTGTGTTGACAAACTTAACCAGTAATAACACATTTGTCATTGTCTGACATCAACTCTTCTGCTCTAGATACAGCCAGAGAAAATGTGGTGAGCTTTCAAAGTCAGCTTTTATGCTGTGTATCAGGTATGTCAGTGGAGTCAACATCTTTTGGTCTGTCACAGCTGGCAGCTCCAACACTTTTAATTACAATCAGATAAGTATGCAGCAGCTAGTAATATCCAAGTCAAATAGATGGGACTAGTAATAGAATTTGAACCAGTGATAACAGAGAATAATATAGGTTGAGCTTAGTGCAGTTAGAGCACGTTTATGTATCAGACCCTTAGAGGACACAACAGGAACTTAACAAAGCCTACTGTATCCATGTGCTGTATTTGCTTTGGGAGAGTTGTACTAAGTTTGGGCAGGTGGTGATACTAAATGTGATTTTTAGGCACTGTCAGGTGGTGCAGGCAATGCTGTGGATGATGCAGAGGTCAAAACCCCAGCAACACTTGTGGTATAAGGAACAACTTGTGCATGACCCTGATGAAGGCCACACTATTCTGATGGTAAAGTCGTTCTGTACACTATTTGTATTGCTGGAGTTAGACCTCTTTAGAATTTTCCTTTGTCCATGCACCTTGGAAATTCCTATTCTGCACAGTGCTGTGGATCATGACTGACCCAGCAGATGTGTCGTCACATTTCAACCATGGACAACTACAACAGTCAGTAACAGTCAGTACTAGAACCTGTACTATGAAGCAGGATTTGGAATTAGAGAGGTAACTTTAGGGTTAACTCTTTTTTCGGTATTAAGAAGCTGTCTCAATTTTTACTGGAATCACCATGGTAACTTACGGCTTACTGCTGGATCACAACCTTTCAATATCCCTTCCACTGACCAATCAGATCACTGGAAAAAAGGTATCCCGACATGGACAAAAGTCCAGGGTGACAGGCAAACAAAGAGTCAGCCTATATTTTGTTAATGTTATAGGTTATGTTTGTAAGCAGAGCTCCTAACAAACGGAGAGATGGTTTGCAATACTAAACACATGATGATTTTAGCTGCATTTTAACTTGTGCAAAGTTTATTTTATCAGTGATAGCTGACAGTGTGGCTGATTTTACGCTCTGATTTCATTACCACAGCTCAGGATAACAAGACAACTGTATGATGAGAACTGGGGAAAAAAACGTAAGATTGTCTTTTATTATGCCTCCACATCAGCAATAGCTGTGGCCAGAGGCATCATGTTTTTGGGTCGTCAGTATGTACATACATCTGTCCCATTCTCAAGAATGTGAGATCTCAAGATCGCATTGAGAGAATGTCTTCATTCACTTAGATTTAACAATGCAAACTATTAGGATCTGGTGGTCAAATGTCTAGGTCACTTTGACCTTGTGTCCATCTCATTCTCATGAATGCAACATCTCAAGAAGGCCTTAGGGGATTATCTGCAAACTTGGCACAAACGTCTACTTGACTCAACAATTAACTGATTAGAATTTGGTGGTCAAAGGTCAAAGTCACTGTGACCTTACAAAGCATGTTTTTTTTTGCCATAATTGAGGATTTCATATGCTGATCATGATGAAATGTCACATAAATGTCTAATTAGGTAAAATGATAGTGATGTCCAAAAGGTCAAAGGTCAACTTCACTGTGACATCAAAATGTTATGTAAAAAAACTTTTGTGGCCATTACTCAACAAGGTGGGGTGCCCACCTTGAAACTGTGCTGATTGTATAGATCTTCTGTGCTACCAAAGGGAAGATGTGTGTGAAGCATCCACGTTTTCACAGACATGAATGTAAACTAAGAGAATTCTGACTGGTTCGCAAAGGCGTGGAACTGTGAGGCGGTATTCTAGTTGGAAAGATTATCCAAACACAGTCCCATGATTCTAAATACTAAATTTTGGTCAGATAGACCTCATCAGTCATTAACTACTTTTCCACTCAGGAGCAGAAGCAGTCTGGAATCACGCTTAAGTGTTTTATGTGACATATTAGAAGCACTTTTTTCATTTTCCAACCAATTATCAATAATTGGGCATTTAATATTTGGAAATCCTTTCCTGTTTTTCCACATCTACCTAGTCTGTTATGAGGTTATAGGCTATCACTTATATTTCACATTTCTGATGAATGTAACTTTTTACTTCCCCTAAAACAGAACGTTTGTGCAGGTAATAAGTATCACTGTTTGATTTCATATCATAAGAATTACTTCATTCATAGTTTTTTATAAAAAGATAATAATAATAGATAATAGTGTACTACACTGATCAAAAAAAAAAATTAAGAGAACACTTTATCGTCACAGTATGACACCAAGTCAGTTAAACTTCAAGGATATCAATCTGTCCATTTAGGAAGTGCAAGTGATTGTGAATCAGTTTCACCTGCTTTGGTGCAAATGAAAGTGACAACAGGTGCAATGGAGAGGCAAACGCAAGACCACCCCCAAAAAGGGAATGGTTTTGCATGTGGTGGCCACAGACAATTGCTGTCTTTTTATCCTTCCTGACTGATTCTACTCTAGTTTTTAAAGTGAAAGATGGCTGAATTCCATTTTGCTGCTTCAAGTTCAGGGTCCTAGTATTGCATGCTTACTCATTTTCACACTGTCACGGCTCAGGGATATTTGCATTGAACAAAGCCATTGTTAAAAGGATATTTTGGACTTTTTGAGGTGGGTTTGTATGAAGTACATGTCCATATTCAGTGTACTACCTACAGAAGATGGCAATCGGCACGCCCCCAGTTTGGAGAGGCAGCCAGGCACACCGCTACAAAAGCTAGCCAATGTCCTGCTGTGGACTAGCCTGGAAATCCAGACCCAAATCTAGAAAGATTTAGGGTCTGGCTATGAGTAATGCAAATGGCCCAACTCGAGGGGGGCACCAAGCATGCATTTGGATAACATTACGTCCAATCAGAACAATACACGGGGTGACGTATCCAGAGCGCTACCAGCGGAGCTAACTGGTAGATTAGACTCTTGCCGTATCCGGTTGGCAAAACAGCAAAAACGTTCTTGCAAAGGAAAGATTCAAGCGCCGTCTTCTGTTCCTCTTTTAGAGAAAAAGCTAAGTCTAACCTCTTTTAAAGAAAAAGCCAAGTCTAACTCGTTCATTGTAGCTGCCAAAGCCGTTTCAAACAACTGGTGTTCATCCGTAGCCATCTTGCAATGTTTACTGACTGATTCCGGACTTCGTCTTCGCAGCGCTGTCATCATCTGTTTAGCTCGCCTCTGGCCCGCCTATATCAGATACACCGATGTGATTGGTGCAGCTCGGCTCCAAGGGCATGGGTAATGAGCATCATTACTGATTGCTAGAGTGACTCACTGAGCAAATTCAAATTGTGCGCTAGCAAGAACTCTGGATTTCCAGGGTAGCTGTGGACAGGGGCAGCAGCAAAATGTTATTTAGCCAAAAAAAAGCCTACCTAAAAATATCAATATCGGTTTAAGGGTACACTATATTTAGAATATCATCAGACAGTCCCTTTGGACAGGTAACTGAAGCCCCTTTATCCATCTATGCTGTCTTCAAAGCAAGGCTGTAGCCATGGAGTCAACATTGGGGGGGACCAAATCTGCACACACCCCCACCCCCCCAAACACACACACCCTTACTTCCTGCCATTGAAATTCTAAAATAAAATATGTACAAATTCACTAACACATGAGATACGTTCTTTTTTTTGAATGTCTAAGTGCCTTAGACTAGGGATTAAGGATTAATAAAGTACAACTTCACCCATAATCATATTGAAGTGTTTTGATCCATAGGAAGGTCTGTGCCACGCAATTTCAGTAGAAACAGATTTGATTTATTGCCCTTTCATTAGGGATGTCCCGATTCAGCTTTTTCCACTTCTGATCCGATACCGATATTACAGCCTTGAGTTTTGGCCGATACAGATACCGATCCGATCCAAGCACGTATTATACATATTCACTTATTTTGTTGTCAGTCATGTTAGAAAAGGTTTGATCAAGCGATATTACTCTAACAAGAACAACTACTTAATCGGGTTAGTTAGAATGATCCACAACAGTTGGTATGAGAAACTGACCCGTTTATTGTTAACAGGGTTAAATGAACAAACTTTAGACTTGAACATTAACATTAAATAAAAAATATAGCTGGTTTGCTTTGGCTGCTTTGGCCCCTTAATAAATAGAAAATAAATCAACACAAGAAATCTTTAAAATGTCTAATATTGAAATTAAAATAGCAGCAAGACTCCACACACTTGTGCTTTGGCCCCCTAATAAATAAAAAAAAGATTAACACCACAAGACATTGTTGACATTTAACAAACAATGCAGCCTTTCCTTTTCAATTATTTTAGTAGTGTCAGTGCAAGCCTGGTGCTGCTGTTTCCTGGGACCAACAGAGGGGACAAAAAAACCACACACAATATTGTACAACTGTTTAAACAAGCAACAGTCCATCCATGGCTCCAGTTTCACTAATTGTGCCCAAAACAATGCCATCAGTGCTCTTTACTTAAACAGTAAGAGTGTAAACCAAATAAAAATATCACTCTCAAAAAACCAGAGCAGAAAACAAATAGTCAGTTAACTAAATTGACCGCTACTCTTCCTACCCTCCATGTGTGTCTGCCGTCTGCATGCTGGCCTGGTGGATTGATAGTAAGAGCTGGAGCAGATCACTGGAATGGACTGCTTGAATCGCGGAGCGCTGGGCTGGTCGGAAAACCTGGATTGGACTCCGTGGAAAAACTGGATCTGAGTTCTTGGATCAGCATTTTTCCATGCAGTCCAATCCGATGCCGATGCACATTTTTTGCTAATATCGGCAGCCGGATCGGGACATCCCTACCTTTCATTTTACACTGACGACTCACACTAGTTGCTTGCCGCTCAATTGAAGTCATCTCCTCTTCTCTGACCACTTGTCACTTTACATTTTTTCACTCATTATTCTGAACACACCAAAGTGAACATGGAAGAAATATTATCAGATAACAAATGGTGGCTCTTGCTCAGATAGCCTACAAACCATTTCTGATCTGAATGACAATAATTCTTATATCAAGAAATAACTCATGACTCATTTTTTGTACTAATGCTACCGTACCGTATAACTAACGTTACTTCTATAATCCGACTGATAGGGTAACGCTACTCATTTTTCCCACTGTGCTTAACTTACTTTGCTTCTTTTCTGAGACTTGCCAAAAAAAAGCCGAATGTCTCTGCCACCCTTCCTATTGCTCATGACGACTCACTGCGAAATTACACATGCAGCGCTAACTTTATGAGAGACACTTCCAAGTTCAAACTTTACACAGGCTTGTTGTTAGCTAGCTAGTTAGCTAGCTAGCCAGCTAGCTATTATAACGTGGTTACATTCGGTGCAACATTGCAAAACAATAACCATTCATGACATCAAAATTTCATATCACTTTACAAAATCACAATAAACAGTTAAAATATAGCCTACGTAACACTCATATTATCTCGTTTTCCACTTTTATTTAGTAATTAATAGAGAAACAAATTTACATTGCCTGCCTGGAACGTTACCCATACAGCAGTCTGGCAACAACATTAATGGCAACCAGCCTTGGCATTCTGCTATGGCAACTCCACTTGGACAAACCACACGCAGAACTGCAATACTTGAACCGATAGTAATAATAATGGGGATTTGTTATGTTTAGTTATAATTATGATGATTCCATTATTTTGGATGGTGGTATGTGGTTGCCGTAGAATAGCAATGAAGAAAAAAAAAAAGTTTTCTTTGTTGTTGTTTTTCAGTTTCAGTTATATACTGGGGGGATATTTTGGGCATATCTGAACATTGGGAGGACATCCATGAAACCAGAATTTCTTGCCTTGAAATGGCTCATGACTGAAAAATTTTGTGATTACTTGATAGGTAATAAGTGAGTAGTCTGGACAGGCAACAATCCCTTAAGCCATCTTGATACTGCTAAGCTGGGGGCAACAGAGCAACGTTGGGCTGAGGCTCTGGCTGATTTTGACTTCACTCTTAAATATCACTCAGGTCCTTAATACTAATAATATTAATGCTGATGCTCTGTCCAGACAACCAGCCTCAGCTGAGGCAGCCTCAGTTAGCCAGTTTCTGCCTGGAACTCCCATCTCCGCAAGAATGCAGACGGAAGTAGGTAAACAACCTAAGCAAGTGTCCTTGATAGTGTGGCAGATTGAGTTTCTCCCCCTCCCTCCTCCTCTCCTTTCTTCCATTTCACTCAACGGGCAGCAGACTGCATTCAATCAGCCATCAGTGCTGATTGCAGGGCGGTGCCACCCACCTTTATATCTAGGTGAGGCAATACTGCTCTGGTTCTTCTTCCTAACCTCCAGAGTCTGGCGTCTGTGCAGTCTGGTGTGGCTGGTCTGCCTTCCGAGGCTTTTTGGTGTGTCAGTCCTGCTGTGAGCATAAGGTAGGCTCTCATAATATTCCTGGTGTCGCACACTGCGTGCGTAATTGGTGTTTTACCTGCCAGTTTCCTCGCTCTGCAGTGTGGCTGTCTCTCCCTCCCTTGGCTTCTTGAGTGCAGACCGGAGTTACGGTTTACTGCTTCGCCAACTCGGTGTTGAGGTAGGCTGGCTCAAATTAGTTTTAAGTTGTGGCCCGTCTCTGCCTGGTCTTCACCTGAATAAATTGTCTCTTTCCGTGGTTTCTGGTCAGCAGTCGGCTGAGTGCGCAGCGGCCATACGTCCTCCCCTCCTCTCTGCTCCGCTGTTGGAAACTGCCCTCTGCCCGGTGGTATGTATATTCGAGTTCATATTACTATTGATTTCAGCGTAATTTCAAATTGGTAATGTTCGTTTTTTTATGGTATTTACATTGCAGGCCCTTAAAGGCCAGGCTGTGCGCTACAGTGTAGTGCCTCCTGTTTTTCACAAGCCATCAGCCTCCACCACCTGGCGCGGGCTGCTGTTCTGTCTCCAATGACTTTTGGATTTGGGGTTTGTGCAGAGTGGGTCCACTCCGAGTCATTTATAACTGAATTGTTCTGATTGTACCAGACTTTTCAGAACTTCCCGTTTTACAATATTACCTGGTGTCTTTTTATTCTCATCTCATTGACAAGGGGACTATATTTGGTAGCCACGTTCTAGTGGCCCTGTGCTGTTTTGTTTATTTGATTTAATTTACAGTAAGCAGTATTATTTGTTTTCTTTTGAATCTTTATTTCTTTCTCCTGTTTTGTTTTGAGGTTTGTTTTCTGGGGGTTGGTTGACTTAAAAGCTACACACATGCATGTCTTCCAACTCCTGGGTAATTTATATTACTCTGTTTATTGATTCAATTAGACAATTGTTATTAGCCTACTTTCTTTTGTAATATCTGTTATCATTGTTTGGTTTCTGGGGTATATTGTTTGGGTAAATTGGGGTGTGTGTGTGTGTCTTGTGTGAGTGTGTTTTATGGAGTGTGTGTGAGACCGTTGACTTGAACTAACTGACTAACTGTGTGTTTCTCAGGAGAAAGGGGTTCGAGCCGGTGGCAGGCAGACCTCTTGGTGGTGGTGTCCCTCACTCTCTCACTCACTCACCCCTTTTTGCCGTGCTTTGTTATTTTGTCTTCACGTGTGGTGGGTTGTGTTCTTTTTTTTGGACCCGTCCCTGCTCCTTTGTTGGTCTGTCCTCCGCAGGAAGCCCCCGGCCTAGCTCCTTAGGCCCTCCAACACACACAGTAAATTTCTGGTCATTGCTCTTTTATTATTGAGAATGTGTCATTTTAAAAAGATAATGTTAAAAATAAAGTTTTGTAGCTTTTGGTACCTGTCTCTGCCAGTGTTTAGTTGAACCTGTGTGCCTTATTCTTGTGTCCCTTGTAAGGGTTAAGTTCAATAATTTCCAGGGGGTTAAACTCCCCCAGGTGGCGTTGTCGACAATCTTCGCTATATTACCTCGCCTAAATTCCGCCACACTAGCCATCTCCGCCCTTCCTTCCACTTCCAACAGCAAATTGACAAACCTCCATAAGAACGACTCAACAATTAGCAACCTTCTGGTGTTCTGGAGGTGCCAAAAAGGCCCTAGTGCTTTTGAGCATAGACAACTTAGCCCAGCTGTATAAGGGCTGCTCAAACAGTAGGAAAGGTTGGTAGAAAAGGGTGGAATTCTTTACAGAAGGCCCTTCCCATCTGATGGTGGGGAGGAGGCCTGTCAGCTTCCTACTGCTAGAAGCATTCCAAGAGGAGGTCCCAACTCAGCTTCACCATGGTCATTGACATCAGGGAGTGGAAAGGACCACTGAGCTGGTGAAACAATACTGCTACTGGCCAGGTATGTACCAGCGGGTAAAAGAATGAGTCAGCAATGTGAACATTGTGCTGTAGCGAAGCCTTCCCAACATGTTGTACGTGTTCCTATGGGCCACCTGATTGCAGCTAGACCTAACAAGGTCCTAGCTATTGACTTGACTTTTCTGGAACCAGCACAGAATGGTCAGGAACAAGTACTCATAACTGATGTCTTCTCAAAGTTTACACTGGCAATCCCCACCAAATACTAGCGGGCATCAACAATGGCCACCGTGCTTGTGAAGAAATGATTCTATAAGTTTGGGGTTCTACCACGCATTCATTCAGACCAGGGCCGTAATTTTGAGACGCTCTTATTCAACAGCTGTGTAGCCTGTATGGGATTCAAAAGACTCATACCACTCCAACCACCCCAAAGGCAATGGCCAATGTGTACAATTTAACAGGACCCTACACAAGCTTTTGTGCACTCTTCAACCTGAGCACAATTCCAACAATTTTTGTCACATCTATGTGAGAGACCAGTCTTCAAACTTGATTGGGCACTACTGTTACAGAGACATGTGACTGTGATGTCACCAAGCCAACTTAAAGAGAACTTTCTGCTCTTCATCTCACTCTTTTCTCCTGGACCTCGACCGAGGTAGGAGGACCTGACACACCCTTCCCCTGTTTTCTCCCCTCTACATGCTCACAGCAGGAGCTGCAGTTTTGCTCTGAATGTGGCCTGCTCCCAGCAGACACAGAACCTGATGACCAGACAAGTTAGTGTGCGAAACATGAGGTTTGCAACTAACTTTCAGTGACAAGGAGAACCAAGTCGAGTTAGCATCAAACTTCTAACTCTGCAAGGTTACCGGGCCAACAGTCTCCTCGGATCTGAACCTTTGGAACAAGGACACAGCAAAGACCGCTTCTGGAACCACAGCTCTTTCCAGCCTACATGTGCCAGCTAACAAAAGCAGCATACCACAAAGCAGCTCTTCCCTCCATTTAAAAATTGGTAATCTAACAACTTGGCATAGTATTATTGTAGTTGTACGGGCTAAGCAAGGCTGTTTAATTTTGTCAATCGTGATTTAATGCTGTCATTGAGTTATGTTGTGATTGTTTGGTTAATGGGCTTCACTGAAGCTAAATGAAGTTAGCTTGCTAATGCGTTACACAGACAGAGTTTTGCATACAACTAAACATCCTTTGTGCTAACCCAGACCCTTTTGCAACACACATCACATACACATATACTCACTCACAATTTGGCTTTCAACATAGCTACACTCAAAGAGGAGAAGTTGTCGCTTCATGTCCTTTGTCCTAAGTGCCCACACAGTGAGGCAAACCTCCCCCGATCTGAAGCCACCTTTGATTCAGCCATCTTGTAGTTTTCTTTTGTCAGCCATTTTGTTTTGTGGGCCAAACGGCCTTTGACACACACCTTGTGTCTCTCTCTCTCTCTTGCTTATGCGCACACCAATACACATCATACACACCCATGCTTGTGTATAGTTAGTTAGGATTTGTGCATTCGAATTATTATCAATAATTATCAATTATTCCCAATATCCATTTTGATACTTTAGTTGGAGGCCTGTTACAAGGTCAGGTCCCAACAAGTTCCATGAAACTGGAATTTCTTGCCTTGAAATGGGCTATGACCAAAAAGATTTGGGACTATTTGATAGGTGATAAGTGTGTAGTCTGGACAGATAACAACCCTTTAAGCCACCTAGACACTGCAGCATATCACAGCATGTCCAATAATGAGTACCTGTTCCTGTCCATTCTGTGCTGGTTCCAGAAAAGTCAAGTCAATAGCTAGGACCTGGTTAGGTCTAGCCGCCATCAGGTGGCCCATAGGAACACATACAGCAGGTTGGGGAGGCTTCACTAGTCAAGTTAAGTCAAGTCAATTTTATTTATAGAGCGCAAAATCACAAATCACAATTTGCCTCAGAGANCCCCCCCCCCCCCCCCAAAAAAAAAAAACCTTTAACAGAGGGGAAAAAAATGGTAGAAACCTCAGGAGGAGCAACTGAGGAGGGATCCCTCTTCCAGGACGGACAGACGTGCAATAGATGTCGTACAGAACAGATCATAGGACAAAATGAGACATAAAGAGAGACAGAGACAGAGAGAGATGCAAGACAGACAGTAATGACAGTAGCTTACAACAACAATAATTTAAGTAATAATATTCTAATAATAATTACAGCTGTTGTGGTACAATATGTTGTAAGTACAGTATGTGAATATATGATAGTATATGTATGTGACAGTAATAATCACATGTATAATAACAGTAGAAGTATGACTAATAGTAACATCAGCAGTAGGGGGCATTAGGCAGGACCACGGCAGCAGCACAACCACGTCACACGATCCAGGCACAGCTGCGATACGAGGTGACCTGTCAGATAGTGGAGCGCAAAGGCTCCGGCGAAGAAGCCGAGTTAGCAAGATGCAGTAACAGGACATTCTGTTGGCAAAGAAGAGAGAGAAGGAGAGAAGGTGCTTAGTGTATTATAGGAAGTGTATTATAGGAGGTCCCCCAGCAGACTAGGCCTATGTCAGCCTAACTAGGGACTGGTCCAAAACAAGCCTGAGCCAGCCCTAACTATAAACTTTATCAAAAAGGAAAGTCTTAAAGCAACACAATGGAGGATTTCACTTTTTACCTCATGGGGTCCCCCCTACAGATGCAAAACAGTATTTATCTGTTACAACTGTCGCAATGCGCATGCATTTGTTGACAAGCCAACGATACCGGTGAACTTCCTGAAGCTGGCCGTGTAATGCGCGATCATCATGTCTTCAGAACAGGTAAAGTAGCCTTATAGCATTTTGTACATACATGATTAGGCCGATTGCTTTATTCATTTATTCATTTTCTAAAGTCAGAAATGAGTTGCTCTCTGCAAGTCAGGGCTGACCTCTATGAAGTCCTACCCATATCAAAATAAGCAGACACATGCGCAGCAACGTGTGTGTGCATGCGTGATTAACATAGTAAATTTTGGTATGCGTGCATGCGCACGTGCGTTGTTACGTGCGGATTGTATTTCACGCGTAACAAGAAATGCGTACTGTACTTACAGCATGTGCACGTCCATCTGTAACTGTTGGAGAAATGTTGTGTCCACACACATGCGTGTTCACATTTTTTGATACTACGCAACCAGAAGTTTATCTGCATTGCGGGCACCAGTCCGTGTGCATGAACGCCTCACGTAGTTTCCTTTTCCATTTCATTCTATGTCTGTGTTCCATTTTCATCCAGTAGATGGTGCCATTGAGCCAATAATACATTCTATATAGACATATATAATTATAGGTTGTTTTTTTTAAGTATTATTATTATTAGATGTAATTGGAAAAACACGGACACAAAGTTAGTAGCCTAGATACAGTGGGGTTTTTTTGTATTGTGGAAGAAAGTGAATGAAATATTTATTGTACCATTACCACAGAGAGCAGAGTTAGCTCACTGGGATGAGTGCTAGGATTACAGTCAAAACATTATGGGATTGAATCCCACTGTTACCATGGGGTTTTTTTGTGTGTGTTTTAAAAACAATTTATTAGATCAAACTGCAAAAGAAGAACAGAAAGTGTGAAGCCTAATTTTGTATTTTCTTCAATATCAGCCAATTTTGGAAGAAAATATTTCACTGAAATAAATTATAAAATATTTTTATAAAGCTCACTAGGCAAGGCAAGTTTATTTGTACAGCACATTTCAACAACAAGGCAATTCAAAGTGCTTTACATAAAATATACAGCAAGTAAAAGCAATACGCAACATAAAAAGACATTAATCACATTAATGTAACTACAATGAAGTTAGAATTAAAACCTAGATGGGAGACAGAAATAAAACCTAAAGAGAAGACAGATAAAACAAAATAAAAGTTACAGTGCAGCGTGAGAAGAAGGCGGCTCAGGTTTGATTTAATCAAAGGCAGCAGCAAACAGAAAAGTCTTCAGCCCTGATTTAAAAGAACTGAGAGTTGCAGCAGACCTGCAGTTTTCAGGGAGTTTGTTCCAGATATGTGTAGCATAAAAAAATGAAAAAGAAAACTACGTGAGGCGTTCATGCACCCGGATTGGTGTGTGCGATGCAGATAAACTTCCGGTTGCGTAGAATCAACAAGTGCGAATGCGCGTGTGGGGACACTTGCCAACGTTTCTCCAATGGTGACAGACGGATGTGCACACGTTGTAAGTACAGTACGCATCTTCTTGTTACGCGTGATGTAGTTTGTGCACATCATAGTACGCGTGCGTGTGCGCGTGTGACAAAAATGTTCTATTATCTTCATGTGTGCGTTTATGCATGCGTTTGCAAAAAACGCATAAATGTCACACGTATTAACTCCGCGTTGTGTGATTACGCGGCGTGCAGCAGTCATCACGCGTGACAGTTATAAGTCAATGGGGAAACTACATGACACGTCAGGTGTTGTTTTGCTGCGCAGGCGTCAAAGCACGCGCGTGTGACACGTTCAGTCAATTGC